CCCACCTCAAACCACGCGTGACAGACAAGAGTCGGAAATCACCATACGACCCATCCAACTACGAAATAGATCAACGAGTCCCGTTTTGCGAAAATTTAACGAAATGTTTCAAGATGACGCTGTTTAATTATCCTTTGTTTTCAAGTTTTACGTTTTGTCATACTTACCTGTGCAATCATGTAATAATGTGTGTTATGCAATCTCTTTTTCTCCCAGCATCCCACTCTCTGCGGCCCGGGAATATGTGCGGTCTAATTACCGCACATGTTTCCGTGTCAGCGAAATAGTTTACTTATTTAATATTATTTGATTGTATAGTGAGTCGTGTGTGTATCAAGTAATTGTAAGCTCGTATACCTATCAAGAAAATAAACATTCTATAATCGTCAAGGAGTTTTTATTATCAAGTTATCAAGATCTATCAAATAGGTCGTTCGGCAGCATCACGGCACCGTCCGACAGTGATGGTAATTTATTAAATAATAGCCGTCCCAGCGAACTTCGTACCGCCATAAAAAAATAGGGGTTGGTGGTAGAAGGGTGAAAATTTTTGGTTGTATGTATTTTGTATGATGTATCATAAAAAAATAATTATAAATTTAGGGATGGACCACCCTTAACATTTAGGGGGATGAAAAATATATGTTGTCTGATTCTTAGACCTACTGAATATAGTAATATCCAGATCTTTGATCCTTTAGCTTTGTTAATTTTCATTTTAGTTTTAGTAACAGACATGTATCGATTTAGGATATTTGTAACTGTATCAAGAAATGCATTATAGTTACTATTTACATCATACTGTTCATCAATAATATTATTCCAATTTATGTTTTTTAAAGCTGTTCTAAAATTATTTATATTTCCTATTATTCTTTTATGAATATACCATATTTTATTTTCGTCATACTCTGAATGTTTAATTATTTGTACAGTAACCGCCTTATGATCAGAAAGACCATAATCGCTAACATAAGCATCTTTGATCAAAGATGTGTTATTTGTGAATGTTTCTTGTAGGATTACTTTGGTGGTTTTAATATTCAACGGATTAATATTTAGTTTTAAATTCAAGCAGTTGTACAAAAATATAACTTGAAATAGGTAAAAAAATGGACCTTGAAATAGGTAAAATAAATAAAATATTTTTGCTCAGAACTGTCACCGCGAGAGAGTGGCGCGAGTTATAACCCGTCGTACTCGCACACTCGCTTACAGCTCAGAGATAAAACTATCGAAACTACACACTCGCTTCCCGTTAATTGTCAACTCGTTGCTAGCTCTACTCGCTTCTCGTTCATCGTCGGCGGTGGGACAAGTGCCTTAGGTCATGCAACTCTGCTATTGTTGCATAACCGAAATGGCTTTCCATTCAGGAACTGTCATTATGTACCGCCATTCGACTGTCTCAAAGCCTTGGCCTTGAACTAAATAACGATCGGTCCATAGCGTTTATTTAGCATTTCGCTCTCTTTTCTTTATAACTATGATGTACTCGGATTTACAAACAGGGTAAAATAATAAGTACACTAAATACTACTATTAGTTGTAATTTAATGTGTTTTTTTTACACCATATTTTCAGTATTTACAATTTGTTATAGCAGCAAACAAGGAACACACAAAACCATTGCGTTATAATGTAGGGCTGTTTCAGGTCTGCTTTCACCAAAAGCATTTATTATAATTATAAATATTCTTATAGACAAGCTAATAAGTCATGAGAAAAAATGGGGCTATCAGTTTAAAATAAACAATAAATACACAGAGTCCATCTTAGCCTTTGCAGACGACCTCGCAATACTGACACGTAATCCTAAACAATGTTAGAAATTATTAATTGAGGAGGATGAGTACTGTACATAGACTGACAGACTGAGGACAAAACCAAATAAGTGCTGCTGTCTATGGGTGCGGCCAGAGTGCACTCAGTTTCAGATTCAGATTCAGATTCCGAAAACAAGCGCGAGAAATAAACAGTGTAGTCGAAGGGTACGGCCAGAGTGCACTCCTGATTCCGATTCAGATTCAGACTAAGAAAACAAAGCGCGAGAAAAAGCAGGCAACCTGCTTAGACTACACTGTTTATTTCTCGCGCTTGTTTTCTGAGTCTGAATCTGAATCTGAATCTGAGTGCACTCTGGTCGCACCCTATGGGTACGGCCACAGTGCACTCAGATTCAGAATCAGATTCAGACTCAGAAAACAAGCGCGAGAAATATACAGTGTAGTTTAAGCAGGTTGCCAGCTGCCACTATGGCCACCCAATGTAATTTAAATTACTTTGGACGTAAGTAATTGAATTACAGTAATTTCAAATACATGTAATTTCAATTAAAGTAATTCAATTACCATTCATTGAATTAGTAATTAAATTACAAAAGTAATGAATTACGCCCAACACTGATATATATCTTACGATCCCGAAATCTCAATAGGAGGACAATGTGTTACTATGATTGCTGAAGCAGCGCCTTTCAAATTTCAAGGTAGAAAGATCGATCACAAAGGACGTACTCCATCCTTAGAGACAGTTGTCAATAATTTTCTAAATGACTTTAATAAAGTAGATCAACAACCATTAAGCAATATTAAAAAAGTTTGGATATACGACTACATCTTACGTCACGTCTGACTTTGCCTTTCCTTATATATTTATGAGTATACATTGGAAAACCCTCTTGGCAAAATAGGATGCAAATATCATAAAAACATTGAAGGTATGGATTGGACTAGCCCATTCAGCTGATCCCTCAACTCTATTTAGATATCAGAATAGTTTTGGGGTGAAGTTAAAGAAGCCATCAGAACTCTATAAACTCCTCAGAGCCACCAAAATGCATTTCTTGGACCAAACCCAGGATGTAATAGTTTTATCACTTCCAAAAGACAAACGTGTTACAGAGCTTGAGTCAAGACTTCGATTCCATAAACAATTAATGGCTGGTCCACAGGTTAATAGAGTCCGGCTGGGTTTCGCAAAGAAAAAGGAGGACCGAGACATAGTAAAACATTTCCTACAACAAGACGAAAATGATAACTATAAATATAGTACACGCAATGAATTTAGAAATTCAAAGTGAGTCGTTAACGATAGGTGAGTTCTGCATTCCATTAGCGCACCTTACTACATGATTAATCAAGGCTGAAAGGGGGCGAAAGGCTCTGAAAAATCGTGCTATACTTGTGGTAAGGCAATAGGTACCGATAGGCACATATTGGTAGGTTGCAATGTGCTCCTGTGATAGGGGTCAATAATCACGTCGCCATGATAAAGAGTACTTTAAGTCATACGTGAAGCAGCAAGTCTTGCAGTGGCTAGAACCCAAAAAGGATCAACCACAAATAAAAAATGAACTTTATAAAAGAAGGCTCAACTGTTAACTCGAAAACCAAGTCTTTCTCAATCCTGGGTACTACACCTGACTGGACTATTTTAATGAATACGTATGTAAAGCACTATAAAATACCAGAGGATTTTGGTGTTTCGTCATCCAGGCCGGACATATTCCTCTTTCCTAAGCACATCAAACATATAGTACTAATAGAGCTTAATGTACCGTGGGAAACTAACATTCGAAGAGACCACACAATATTGAATTGAATTTGAATAGTTAATTTATATGCGGGTAAAAGTAGGAGCGAGAGGTATACCAGAAAAATCTCTCTATTACCTTCTAAGACCTAGGCCTGTCGAGATCGGCAGTAAGATCAATTTTGAAACCAGTAACTAAGGCGGCACTAACAGGCCCCTATCAAATTTGGCTAGTAAGGGCTGGCAACCTGAGCAGTGAAGGTGAGCGGTGATGCGCATCTTAAAGGGGGCCTCCTTAAACCTACACCTGGGTCGCAAGTCCCGGGTCGAAGTAGGAGCGAGAGGTATACCAGAAAAAAATCTCTATTACCTTTTAAAAGACCTAGCCTGTCGAGAACTGCAGTAAGTTCAATTTTGGAACGAGTAACTAAGGCTACACTAACATGCTCCTATGAAATTTAGCTAAGCTAGCTAAGGGCGGGCAACTCGAACAGTGAAGGTAAGCGTTGATGCGCATCTTAAAGGGGGCCGTCTCAAACCTACACCTGGGTCGCAAGTCCCGGGAACTGCTCAGAGTTTCTCTCTCTCCTACAAGATGGACCCGGCACCTTTCAGGTCCTGTCGAGAACTGCAGTCAGTTCAAATTTGGAAGGAGTTACTAAGGCTGCACGTACAGCCTCCTATGAAATTTAGCTATGAAGGGCGGGCAACTCGAGCAGTGAAGGCGATTGTTGATGCGCATCTTAAAGGGGGCCTCCTTAAACCTACACCTGGGTCGCAAGTCCCGGAAACTGCTCAGAGTTTCTCTCTCTTCTACACGATGGACCCGGCACCCGCCCGGTGAATCCATGGATTGCTAAGAAGTTTTTGTATTCTTTTTTTATATATAGGTCCGACAAAGCTGTGTCCGCCACCCCACCTGATGTTAAGTGACGGTGAAGCCCAGACGCGAAAATAGCTGGTACAGCAGTTCTACCTGCCACACCAGCCATCCTCACCCTGCCGGCCTGCATGTTGCTTCTTCACGCCTCTTTTAAAGGATCCTAGGTTGTTAGAGGGTGGGAACACGTGAGCAGGCAGATGAGCATTCCATTTACAGATAGTGCGACAAAGAAATGAGTCACCAAATTTCTTTGTACGCGTAGGAATTGTGACCACAGTTAGACGGTGACAACGTAGGCCAGCGCGCGTGGTCCTCGGAAGGAAAGGGGAAGGTGGAATAAGTGAGAATAACTCCTCAAAACACTCGCCGTGGTACAGAAGATAGAACGCGCTTCGTGACGCCACGTCACGGCGTACTTGAAGAGGCTCGAGGTGTTTAGTCATCTCCTCATCGCCTATGATGCGGATGGTTTCGTTCGTTCCCCCACCCCTTTCAAGAGTAGCAATTTTATTTTGCATGTTAAATCATGTGTCCCTCTCCGACTTTTTCATATATCTAAAATAAATATTTTATTCACACTTACATTTTGCGACCGTTTCGTCGATGTCGTCTTGAGATTGTTTCTTGTCTTTTTTTCCATCCAAGATGGCATCGGTGTTTTCTTCAGCTCGCCTAAAATAAAGAATTGAAAATTTTCCCTCTTATTACAGAATATTTACTAAAGTTGAACCTTTTATAAAATGGAACTGTCACGTTTGAGGACGCAGACAACATTAGATTTGAACCAAGCCTAACTTTAAAATAAGGCAGTTTCTAACTCCCATTTATAATAAATCGATAAAAAAAAATACATTCAATATGAATATTGGTGATTTTAATGGGGGTTTTTTTAAGATGTCCATATAAGTATTCTCATAATATTGTTGTTTCCTCAAACATTCATGGAAATGGAATCATTATTTTGACAACAGCGGCCAGCAAAGTTGTATGAAAAATCATGTCTGTCCTGTTTAGCGGTCAAATAATTACATAAATTACATAGTAAACTCAAGAGACATGGCAACCAAGGAAGTAACTTATAAAGGTTTTATTAAAATTTCGAACTGATTTGCAAATAGAGCTGGAGGTTTACTCTATTTCAACATAAAACCAAATTTCGGTCGAAATTTCGCACGTTCCTTACTCTGTTTCTTTTTCATTTCGAAAATTCGTTCGTTCGAAAATAGTTTGACATTTAAATTCTCCAAGCCTTCTCTTTTCACAAAACTTTCGAACGAAAAGTTGAATTTGACAGATAATTGTTCGAAATTTTAACCTCAAATTGACGAAATGAAAAGTGTCAACTTTTTATTTTCGTTTTGGGATTTTTGTTTTAATTAAGCCTGAAATGCTCGCATGAGTATAAAAATACTATATATCAAGGCTGCTTAGCTCGAGGTACATTTCTTAGCATGTAAAATTAACAAATAAACCATATTTTTATTATTTATTGTAATTACAACACTCAACTAAAACGACAAATTAAGGTTAACAATAGATTGTATCAACTCTACAAATTAGTCAGCTAACACTGTCAATTTTACCGTAAAGTACCTATATTGTCTCCCAGTAAAAAAACGTAATCTCAAAAGTGGAGATAAAAAGAACTCACAAACATGACTCATTCCATTCGTTCCAGAAAACTGTGATTCCAAATTTTATATGCCTGCTCGAAAATTAAATAGTGTAGAGTCACTGGCGAAACGTTTAAAATTAGTTCGTTTTGGAGAGAGAGTAAAGCTCCTGTTTATTTGAAAAACAGGTGCTGATGTTAATCATTGATTTTGAAAATTCTATTGAAAAATAAAAGTTCTGCCTAGGTACTACTTAATTTCCGCGCATAATTTGATAAAAGTACTATATATATAAGTCTTGCCCACAACTAGACATTAATGGACTCACGTGTTTACACGTTCGTCTGTCAATGCTTCTTGCTGGCTGCTGCAGAAATGTACTATTACTGAGTAGATACATTATTTCTCAAGGAGCTCGATGGCGCCAGTGGTTAGCGCGTTCGGCTGCGGTCGTTAAAGTTGAGCAACTTTCGCAATGGTCTGTCATTGTAGTTGGTGACCAAAAATTTACTATCTCGAGCTCCTCCGTGCTTCGGAAGGCACGTTAAGCCGTTGGTCCCGGCTGCATCTGCAGTCGTTAGCACCCACCAAGCCGCACTGGGCCCGCGTGGTGGGTCATGGCTCTCCCTAATTCATCCATAGGAAGGCCTGTGCCCCAGCAGTGGGGATATTAATAGGCTGATGATGAAAAATGATGAATATTATTTCTTACTTAGCGAGATCTTCCCTTTTATGGAAGAGGTCTACTATGAGGTCGAGCGCTGTTATGTGCCGTGGTACGATGTCTTCGTCGTTGTCGACCCGCACTCGCGCGTCAAGGAAACGCTGTGTGTTCACCTCGTTGTTTTGCACCAAATTTATCAGCAATAGCAATACCTGTTGGAAGAAAATATTATATCTAATATATAAAATTCTCGTGTCACAGTGTGCGTAATTGAACTGAAATGATTTTCGTGAAATTTTATATGCACATTCAGTAAGTCTGAGAATCGGATAATATCTATTTTTCATCCCCTTAAATGCTAAGGGTGGTCCACCATAAATTATTTTTGAACATTTTTTTTATGATACAAAATACATACAACCCTAAATTTTCACATAAGTAAAAGAAAAATTAATAAAACTATATAATACTAGCTGATCCAGCGAACTTCGTATAGCTGGCTCAGCTAAATAGGTCCAATATAAACTTCTAAAAGTTAAATTGGTTTTTATTTATTCTTGTCAATAATTGAACAGTTACTGTTCATGATATCTCGAGATTGGTTCTCATTGTCAATTTCATGTGCGTTGCGAGCGGTAGGCAACCCGCCCCCTCACCCCTGTCGCCACCTAAGCCGCAGGCAACGAGTTCCGCGCGCACTATAATATATAAAACAATAATAACATTACGATGGGTGGTTTTAAACACTTACGCAAACACTGAATTCGAAGTTCCTGTCATCTGGTATGAAGTTATCTTGGTTGTTCAGTATGACGAGGCAGATCTCTACAACGGATGGCTGCTCTCCCACTACTTGAGCTCCACGCGATACTGTTGATAAAATTAGAAAATATATTTTTAGTGTTAATTAGGTTAATCTGAAATTAATGTAATATGAACTTTAATGAGTGAAATAAATCATAATAATAACAATTGGTAGGTATTAATCAACTACAAATAAATTGTTATTAAATTTATTTTTTGACTAGCGGCCGCCCGCGACTTCGTACGCGTTAACTTTAGTTTTTTTGAAAATCTCTCAGGAACTTAACATTTTTTCGGGATTTTTTTAGTCTCAAACCAGATCATAAACTATACCCGCACAAAATTTCATCCAAATCCGTCCAGTAGTTTTTGCGTGATTGATTAACAAACTTTCACATTTTTATTAATAATTTTATTAAAGAATTTCACTGCTATTTTGTTAACGCTATCTAAAACAGAAAAAAGTTCAAAATCGATTAAAGATTTGCCCACGAACGGCCGGAGCAGCGACGCCAACGTACGCATCGCCCCCAGTGACTAACTCCTTAGATACAAGTGGGTGCGTCACGTCAACACTGAGGCGGGACTCACGCGCGGCCCCTGACAAGTACAACATGTCACAAAACACAGAAAGAGGTTAGAACGGCCTTGTGGGCGGGGCAGCGCACCACAGTTATTTGTGAGCTGATGCTCATATGCAAATGCTCATAACTTGACCAGAACTTGGTTCTGATTGCGTCGTTGCAGTTGCTCTCGGGTGTGAGCGCTGATTGGTTCGATTGTTTGATGTCGCGTCGTTTGATTGGCTATTATTAGTTAGATGGAAGTGTAGTGGGGGAGAGCCCGCGACATTGGTTCCCGTGCAAACGGTCTATCGTCACCCTTCTAACCACACTCTGTGTTGTGTACGACAGGTTGACGAGCACTTTGACAGCGGGCAGCGCAGCTGCAGCGCCGCCGTCCGCGCCTCGCTCCCTAGATAAAAGGGGGCACGTAACGTCACTACCGGGCGGTACTCACCCGCGGCCCCGAACGAGTGCGACAGGTTGACGAGCACTTTGACGGCGGGCAGCGCAGCGTCTAGTAGCGGCCCGCGCAGCTGCAGCGCGGCCGTCCGCGCCTCGCCCGCACACCGCCGCAGCAGCGACGCCAGCGTACGCGCCGCTCCCAGCGACTCGCTTACCAGATACAACTGGTTGTCTTCGTTTTGTTGAGTCACCTATAATGAAGAACGAATAGATTACAAGCTGGGTCACCTACCAGTGAATAAAAGCTATCTATGTAATAAGCAGTTAACAATACAAAAGTTCTTACTAAAGTATCTACTGCATTTCTCTTTACATTATTACTTGATAATGTTGGTGAACCTAAATTTGAACTTTAGAGAGGTTATGCATAGCTGAATTTATCGTTGAATAGACTATTTGACAGTATGCAAAATAATGGTGCCAATTCTGTCGTGATTCTATAAACTTAAAACTAAATTTAACAATCATCTCTCCTTTTCATTCTGTATAGAGAATGACAAGGATATACTGCTGTCAAATTTAAGTTTAGGTTTAGAGAATCATGCTAGAATCGACACCAATGTCCCTTTAGTGGCATCTCTTATCTATTAGACAAGTCCGTCCGTCCGTCTGTCTGTGGTGCTGTTTCAGCGGCCAAACCGTAAGAGATAGATAAAGAGAATATTTAAGTTATAAGTTAAGAATAGTCTGATAAGACTACAAACCGGATTTGAGTAACGTAGCACTTCCGGTTTTCGAGAAATCACGAATTTCAAACGAAACCACACAAAATCTCCGAAGTTCTCAATTAATTAAATACATTTTTTTTTTAAATCAGGTTTTTTTTGCTAAAACTATTAAAGAAAAAAAAATACAATTGTTAATCTGTAATTCAGTACTAGACTCATATTTTCTAAAACTTGCATGTAGCGGTCCACCTTCGCTAAGTCGTCAATCTTAGCATCGCTCCACGTAGAAGCTGGTCATCCACTAACGCTCATTCCTGCCGGCATCTACAATCCGTACGGATTGAGTGGTAGTCGATGTGCGAGAGCGAACAAGCAATTGACTACCATGCAATTCGTACGTATTATAGATTCCAGCAGGAATGAACGGTAGTGGATGGCCCGCTAGACACCGGTGTTTCGAGATGGTTTGACGGTTCCTCCTAGCACTTGCAGCTCTACCTTGAATCTCTCGCCAGCGCGTTTAGATCTCAAAGACAGAAGTGCCATGGCGAAATGCCCTACTTATTTAAGCAAGCTCGCCGCGCACCTTCAATTAGAGAGCGCCGTCATTATTTCCACCTTCATTATCCGTAATCTCCATCGACCACATTCACATAATACTACCTTTTAATAGCAATGAGCTTCTGCTGTTGAGTTAAGTTCCAATACTTTAGACTAGAGGGTAGATTCGGATCAAGTCAGCAGGGCGAGAATGGCTGGGGCGGCACACATTGTCCGCCGCATCAGTTTTTAACTGGACTACTTACACTTAACATGTTTTGGAATTGGATAATTTGCAACAACTATTATCTAGAAACATACAAGAAAATTTTTTAGTCTGTAATTCAGCACTAGACTCACATTTTCTAAAACTCGCATGCAACGGTCTGCCTTCCTAAGTACGTCGATGTCAGCATCACTCCACGTAGACGCCGGCGTTTCTAGACGGTTCGCACAGTCCTGTATGGTGCGTACGATGTGATCAACGCCTCCTAGCACTCGCAGCTCTTCCTTGAACCACTCGCCGGCCCGTTTAGACGTCAGAGATAGAAGTGTCTCCATTGCGAGGTGGCCCACCTATTAAATATTTTGAGATAAGTGAAAGATCTTTTTACAAGGGCGTTGTATCCGCATGTTGTGACCATTGACTTCTAAAATCACAAGTGGCCCGCCCTCGTTTCGCTTCGGTGTAGAGCTGTAGTGTAGACTATAGTTTTTGTTCTCAGGCTTGTATTATACATAATGACTTTCTTATAGTACCTAATTACAATAGGCACGCGCCACCAGGCCCCCGCCCGGTAGCGTCGGAACCGGTTGTACCTGCATTTTAAATCTGTAATATCTTCGAAAATATTCATTTAAATTATATGCTTTAAAGGGTCTAATTGATCTATATTAAATGCACAATGCATTTAAGCTACTTAATTGGATAAGGAAGGAATCGCTTCGTAAATAAGCTATTATTTCACGTAAAAAGTATAGGATAAAAATGGTTATTGTGGGTTATCTCTAACAGATAGACATATTGCGGACTTTTTGTAGACCTTTTTAAGGTGTACAATACTGTAGTACATTATTTTGATTTATCTTGTAGGGTTCAGCCAGCGTTTGCAATGTAAGCGCAATAAAAAAATATTTACTACCTTACATTAAAAACCTCTAAAATTATCAGTGTTTCTCTACTATATTACGCATGTTTTATACATATAAACCTTCCTTTAGAATGAACTCTATCTATTAAAAAAACCGCGTCAAAATCCGTTGCGTAGCTTTAAAGATCTAAGCATACATAGGGAAGCGACTTTGCTTTATACTATGGAGTGAAGTAGACTTACAATCACACTGAAAAAATACGCGTCTATTGTGTAGATTTTTCAATCGCATTGATTACCGCACAATGGCCAAGCGTTTGGTTAAAACAACAGATCAACACTTAAAAAATATCGTGTCAACCGAGTGTCGTATTTTGGTTATCCTTTTAAAGTTATGTCAGCACTTCACATACCTATTCATACATTTGTTATTAATAAACTTGACAAGTCTCTCCTTTTCACTTATTATGCCTATTACTATTTCTATCTCTGATAAGTACAACATACCGTCAAAATGACGAATTAACACTCTAAATATCTCGCCCCGTGTTCATAAGTCTCTATCGCAATGTGATCAAACTGTCGCTATTTCTTTAAATTACATGTTAGTTTGAACAAGTTAGTATGTTACTAGATACAATAACATATGTAACTTGTTCCAACTAACATGTTATTTTGTGTATAAGTTGATATATAATGTATAAACAACACTACTCGGGTGTTTTTGATGCAGTTTGGCGATTAGTAGTCTATTTGTTTATGCGTCAATAGCTGTGAGTCATATTTATTTCATGTTTGTGTTGTCCTGAATGTGACGTCTAGGTAAACATACTAATAAGAACTTCCTATTAGGCAATCAAAATTCAGATTTTCAACTGATATTTCTTTATGCGTAATAGCTAACTTAGCGTAATATTTAACTTTGGTTTACAAAGAAAGCCATAGTTTTTGAAAAACACAAGATTTGACATAGGGCTATATCAATAAATAACTGTAATAAATGTAAATTCTATAGGCGAGAGCACATCACACTATTAAATAGCAGTTAAGCAGTTATTTTTTATTTAGAGACAATTTCAAAATAGCTTGTGAGTAATGCGGAAATTACTTATGCACTTACAATATTATCTACTTACAGTAATATTATCTAGATCAAGATGCTGCGCTTTCCCTTGGCTTTTGATTTCCGCACACAGCTCCCTGACACGTTCTTGAGTCTTCGCAAGCTGTGCTGAAGTGAGGCCGCAATCATCAAGAGCATTCCTATTAATCATTAATTTTTTATTGAAATTGAACATAATAATTTTATGATGAATAAATAAATCTACCAAACTAGTGTTAATCATAAAGTTTTTATTGAAATTGGACATATTAATTTTATGATAAATAAATAAATCTACTAAACTAGTGGATGTTCGCAACTTCGTCTGTGTGGAAATATTGGCTTCCAATACAAACTCCCACCCTTCCATTCACCCCCTTGGAATGATTTCTGGAATAAAAAATATACTATGTCCTTTCCTCGGACTCAATCTTACCAAATAATTATACACTAAATTTCATCCCAATTTGTCCCAAGCATATTCAATAGTTAAGCCTGACTCAATTTAAATCCACCATTAAAAAATTACTTATTAAGGAAGCTTATTATAAAGTGTCTAATTATATTACAGACAAAAATGCTTGGGTTTGAACTGTTCCAACCATTCCAACGGATATTTCTGATATATATTATTAATCATGTGTTGACGATACTTCTATTTAAGAAAATTTTAATGACAACACGCAGGGGTCATGATTTCTCCATTATTTTTGCTTTGTAATTGTTTGCAGTGCCCTACAGACTACAGATAAATTACTTTAATTTTTAAGTGAATATTTTGTGGTTAATATAGGTGGTTATGGGTAGTCATGCTCTCTTTAAGTCTCTTTGGTGGTGTCCTGTGAGGCGGGTCGTTACGTTCCCTAAAATATGGTTGAGCGAAGTGATGGCTGGTTCATGCGTCATGCTCGTGAACGGGTGCTGCCAGCGGAGATGAGTCTGTCCTAACTACTTTGATATTTAAGATGTAAATGTTTAGTTACACCTAATATAAATAACAGTATTTATATTTAGACTGTATGACACAGCAAACAAAATGCAGTTGAACAGTTAATTTCACATTATGTAATGAAAGGTGCCTTCAGGAATCATCTCTGAAGGCATTTCTCAACTTGACACCTAACAGCCTAAACTGAATAAATGATTTTGATTATGGTTATGATTATTGGTTTATGAGAATTGGTTCAGCAGTTTAAGAGTGAAAGATAACAGAAACTGTAATAATTGGATTTTACTTACTTGTGAGAGACATCTGACTCAAGTAGATTTAACATGAGTTCCAGAGATTCACGGTCCAAATCCATATTGAGGCGATCTTGTGATAATACAAACATCACTGTGGCAGTGCAAAGGCCCAAACTCTGTTAGGAAAATTCCAAAAGATCAGTTTACACTTCAAATCACACAAGTTTCAATGTATTTAGTACAGTATACAGAAAAACCCATTTTAGACGATTTCATAGGGACTCAACCAAAAATGCGTCTTAAGCGGGATTGCGGGATAGGGAAATTTCGAATGTAGGTATTGAGGTATTAAATGTATCTACAATATTTAATAATTATGTTCATTATAAAAAATATAGTGTATTATTACTACGTTTGTATTTAAACTAATCACTTCTTTTAGTTTGACGCATAAGCAATTACAAGATTTTCAACATAATGTAACTTTTGCAGTGGAGCTTCGCTTTGATTTAAAGAAGTTACAAAGCGTCTTAAATTGCTGATAAGACCTAGGCTTGTGACAAAATCGGAGTTGACTTATCTTCTTTTGACCATTATCACTAAGGGTGTGTTATTCACATTCTCAATAAGATCTTCAATTGATTAAATTTCATACGACACATTGTCATCAATGGAAGAATATCCAGGAAAACTGTCACGTCAATCGCTAGCCGCTGCCGCGATTTAGGTGGGATGACGAATCGTATTCAGCTTTAAGAAATGTATGAAAACATGTCTCAAGTTGCAGGGACTGACGCAAATGGCGTATTATGCGAGAAATCGTATTAAACGGGTTTTACTGTATATGTAAATATTGAATAATTATATTATAGGTTAATTCAGTATGTATGTATAAAGTGCCATATTACCTGATCATTTGTTGCATCATGCAGTGCACTGAAGAATTTCTGCACTATCCCATGTGCTCGAAGATGCATGCGGAATGCTGGTGCTGTACATTTACTAGCAAGAGTGATTGCAGACAAACAGCGAGTAGACATGGGATTGTTATCCTATAACAAAAAGAGCACAAATTAATAAGAACAACAGGAGTATTGAGGTGCACATTGTATAAGACACCAATATATTAAATTCATTTTTACCTGTAAAGCATCTAGCAGATACTCAACATCGTCATTTAACTCTTGGAACTCTCCTATTTCTTGTATCTGATGGGCTTTCTTCACATTTCTTACTACAGTGTAGAACTGAAAATCAGAAAAACAGGTATGTAATGATGATATCATATGACCTGAACATGTAATGGTGATGAAAATAAAAAGAATATTACTTGGTTACATACCTCCTTGGCTTCTTTAGCACATTTAACACTAGTATATGGTTTGACAGGTTCTTCATTATCAAGGTCAGCTATTGGATCTGGTGCCTTATATCTTGTTACTCGTGTCAGTTGTTCAGGTACTGGATTAGCTGTGACAGGTGTTTCCGAATTCTCAGGCTGCTCTGGTCTAGGAGTCTCATTCCCTTTCTAAATGAAAAAATTAAGGATATTTAAAAAAAAGTTACTTTTATGACATTTTCAAATCGTTTGTTACATGTATTGTAATGACCTTCGTGACAATCTTAGAAAATTATTACAGACCTTGTGTATCAGGAAATAGATACACAAACTGAATCTATATTTTATGCAAAGTGTTTTTTGAAATTGTTAAAAAGATAATTAATGGCAAATGTTTCCGAATTGCAAGGCTTTGTTACCATGACCAAAGCGAAAATAAAAATCAATAAAATAAAACTATGATATTGAAACTATTATCTTGGTAAGGTAAAAATAAGTTTTTCAATTTCACATCAATTGTATCATTATATAAATATCTTTGTAAAAGAGAGAAAAATTAAGAAAACTATACTCACATCATTGGCCCACTCATGTCTGTATAAATGGCGCCTTTTTCGTGCTGGCAGTGGAGATGGATTATCATTTACTAGTGATTTACTTTTAAATATTGAACCTTTTTTCTTAGTAATCACCAACTTTACACTGGGTTTATCCTCAGTATGTTCCTCAGAATCACACATACCATGGGGTGACTTGAATACTTCTTCATGTTGACTCTTCTGGGAATCATCTTCTGGGACATCATTAGGGCAACTATTGTATGCTGAATCTGAGGATTGTGTGGTAAGTTGAGATTGAATCTGCTCATCGTTAACTACTTCTTGAGTAATCTGTTCGTCATTTTTTTCCTCATGTTCCTTCTCCTCCTGTTCTTTTTCAATCTCTTCCTGTATGTTATTTTCATGTGGCAGTTCTATGCTATAATTGGGGCTTGAATTCTTATTTTTATGTTTCTTATGAATTTTTACTTTGAGACAATCAGTAGGTTTGGTTTCATTACCAGCAAGTATTTCAATCAAGTCATTCTTTTTCTCCACACACTCCATTTCTTTCTCAAGCTCTTGATTAATATTTGGTTGTTCTACAATAGGTTGAGGGGTTTCCATAGTTTCAGAAACGGCAGTATCCTGTTTCCTTTTACTTCTCCTATTTTCTTTTTTAAGATCATTTACTGTCCTAATTGTCTGCTTATTAGAATAACTTGTTGTTAAAGCATCTAAGTAATCATCATTTTCACTATAGTTAATATTGGGTCTATTTCTCCTTGATCTGCCAGAAGTTCTCTCTGGAGGTTTAGGTTCTGGGGGAGGTTCTTTAGGCTGTACCTCTAATCTAGGTGACTTTGACACAGGTCCAGTTGATTCCAGTTTTTCCAACTGTGACTCAATATCATCAAGTGTTGATGGTGGTTTACTCACAATTTCCTTACTACTGTCTTGTACTGGTGATGCAAGAGTTTTATAAAGATCATATGCATCTGTTCCTGGCAGTGGGGATGTAATTTTCTTAATATTATCTTCTTCAACAGTTTTGTAATGACGTTTGTGTGATTTGTGTTCTTTTTTCTCTTTCTTCTTTTCTTTTTTATTTTCCTGATTGAGACCAGAACATTTTATTGTTATTTTGAGACCCTCATGTTTAGGAGAGCATATAGTTTCTACAGATGGACTCTTCTTGTGGTCTGAACCAAAATCAGAATGGGTATCCATAGATGAATGTCTATCAGAGCTAGGTGATGTCAATCCCTCATTTGAATCAGTACTCACAATTCTTGAAGTTCCTTTTGATATTCTAAGCACAATAGGAGGGGGTTTTCTCTCCTCACTTGCTGCCTTGCTAGTTGATGGACTCACCACATCCACTTTTTCTGCTTCTCTTACTTTTATAGGATTAGGGCTAGATATTACTGGACTTTGTTTTGGGGATGGTACCTTAGGTGATGTATTGATTTTAGGAATAAGAGGTTCATAGCGACTTGTAAACTCAGGTATAGGGCTATTACTACCATCTTCTGCATAGTTGATAACTTTATTACGGTTACGGACCAAATAGCGTTTATTGGGAGGCTGTGCATCTTGAGCAGTGGGATCTTCTTTGCGTGATGCTTTTGTAGCTACTGAATTTTTCTTAGCTTTGGTTTTTTCAAAACTTCGCCTTGGCAGTTCTGGTGAAGACGAATCCCTATTATATACCCTGCTTCTCTTAGTTGTTTTCTTTTCTTTGCTGCTAGAGGGATGTTCTGGTGACAGAGGTGCAGCTGGCACTGGTGGGGCATATGTGATTTGTGGGACTGGAGGATAAGGTTCAGCATTTCGAGACTTAAAGAATTTCTTGGGTTTTGGTGGAGGTTGTTCAGTTTCAACTGCTGGTACTGTCAGTGGACTGTTCTGATCTTGTACAGGCTTTTTAAAGACATTATTGGCATATGCTGAAATAAAAAAAAACTTGTAAACAACAGCACATGTACATTGGAATTTAGAAGCACATCACAACAAACAGAATATAATTGTGATCCTAATATATTGTGATTTCTAAAACACTTATATATACTATTCTTACCATACGGAGCGCTGCGAATAGATGTAAAGCTGGTGGTACCCCATTTACCCACAGTTCCCGCCGAACGTGCAGCAGATGGGCAGTTACTATTTTCCCTAAATAGGGCACTATCCAACGGCACGGCAACGCTGCCGGCTCGGCCTCTGCCCCAGCGCGACATACTGATAATATCATCAAAGAAGGTGACTATTGCACCTTCTGGTCAAATCAAACACGATCAGTGTCAGAATAACAAATAGCACATTCCGTACTAAGATTCTTCACGAATTTCAATATTATACGGTATTAATACAAAACGCACTCCTCTAGAGAATCCATAACTTTCTCCGATTGGAACGAAAACACAACCGATAAAGATAACACACCCGCCATTTTTACGGGAGTCATGTACTTTTCCCACAGACGCATTCGTGGGTGTTCACAATGGACAAAACGCGTGTCACGTTAATAAAACTATCATTACAATTACTGATATTCTTTGAACGTGTGAGGTAGATAATTATTTTAGATTTTCACTTGAAATGACAATTAGGACACAAACTGCGATGTTGTCATCTCATAACACAAGAAGCGCCATATTGGCAAAACAAGTTGAAATATTATTGAACAACCAATCACAGCAATGGAAAGGCGTTTTGTTTTTTTTTTATTACTTTATCCATTCTGAGAAGGCTAAAGGTTTTGAGTCTATATAGCCATTTCTTATTGTAGGGATTTGTTTATGGTTTGTTTAGATAAATTAATTATACCTTTGAGTATCTATAACGGGAGACGCCATTAAACAAAGATTTGAATCGTTAAATCAAAACATTAGAGTCCGGGCCACTCATGTCCGATAGACGCGGCGCCTGTCGTCGTCTGTCGTCTAATAAAATGTTGCCAGTAGGAAGAAATATTACTACAAACTATTTTTATTCTACGGAAATTTGATGATGGTGAATATTTTTTGTTTCTCAAATAATGAAACAAAGAAAATTTATCAATAAAACAATATTATAAAGTTTCATATAATTTAATGCAATGATTGTGGTCATGATGTTATAATTTTATTTTATACCAGATATGTTGCAATCACTGTTGGTCAGTTCTTCATCAGTGGAATCATGAGATTCAGTATCACTATCACTCTCTGTTGATATTATGAATCTCTCCATTTCCACACCAATTAGTCCGTAATTTTTAAAGTACTCATCTTCAAGGTGTTTCACGTGGTTTCACTGAACCCTCCAGTCTTCTGGCGTAATACTAGCAAATATCTTATGTCAATAGGCTAGTTGATCCTTTTTGGATAAAGGTTTTAAATCGTTAATAAATATTCTATTAGACCGAAAAGAAAAGTATTGTATTTTTTGAGACCTAGGAAGCTACAAATCTTTAATTCTAAAATAGACTTTTCATGGACATACAAAAATGCTGTCGGCCATTTTAGTCTATAGATTATTTATGCTATGACGTCACACTGTAGTAAACAAAAACTCGTAAGCACGTAGAAAATAACTTATCTGAGTTTATAATTAGAAAAACATGATTTCTAATAAATACCACGAAAAATAAAGTATTTATCATTATTGTATTGTACGAGAATATAAAAACACATCCTTGAAGACTCCAGGAAAGTTGTGGATTAAAGTGCCGAAAGAAATTAACCTACGCAACTTTATTACACTTATTCATTATGTTGTATCAGTTTTATTATTACATTGGTGTCGATTCTGGCGTGATTCTCTAAACTTAAAACTAATTTTAACATCAGTCTCTCCTTTTCATTCTGTATAGAGAATGACAAGGATACACTGTTGTCAAATTTAAGTTTAGGTTTAGAGAATCATGCTAGAATCGACACCATTATAATACTAAATGTACTGTGATGGTTTTCCAATTACAGAACTAGAGCGCATTATGCGGCATAATGCTTAAAGTTCAATGTTCAAACTACAGCAACGCTTCGCATAATTGAGCACTCTCAAAAGTAATGTTTCGTGTGATGCGTGCAATCGTACCAACTCAGTGACAGAAAATTAACAAGTGTTTTTTCTTTAGGTTGGCATTGATCGAAATGTTTTATTTATATGTTATCATTAGTAATATTATTTATTGTTGAAAAATTATTAAAGCTTTCGTTTCATTATAGTATTTTTATTAAATAATCAAAGTTAACTCAAACTGTGTTAAAAAATAAATATAAGTATGGATGAAGGTACAAACATTAACTTTTTTTTCAACACTGAACTTAGCGCACCCTGCTGGTGCATTTTAAAACTAATTCACGTCCCAATTATGCATCAGCATAATTCGGCATTGTGCGCTACTGAGTCGCATTATGCTCTGTAATTGGAAAACAACCTGTACTTACATAGATGCCTTGTCGTTTCTCTGCTCCGCAGAGCAGAAATCGGGGTTTAGTGCAAAAAATTCACCAACCACCAATGCGTCAATTCTTGGCAGATTTGTGGTTTCTGCTTTCACAAAGCCGGCATCCATAATTAGTTTTGTCAAAAAAAAACAGTAAACGGAAACTTTTCTAAAGTTAAAAGTGTTTTAAGATACATTTAGTCAGACGAAAGAATCCAACAGTAACACGCGAATGACATTTAATTGTTTACTACAACAAGAGACGTCACAATCATGGCGGGTGTCGCAAACAGCGTTTTTAGTGTTTAAAAAATATAGACTAAAAAATATTTTTTTAAATAAAATTTCTACAGCAATTTTCTGCTTTTATGAAGTGAAATCGATATATTTAGGTTCCTTAGACCAAATACTTTAAGAAATAAATATTTATTTAATACAATTCGACATGACTTAACTAGCCTATTCCAGCCACATTTTTATCTGCAGCAACGCGTCTCTTAACAGTGGTAAGGAGATAATTTTACCACTTTGTAATTATGTTGTTTTGGTAGTTCACCAACTGCAAAAAGCGTGGTTCTTAGTTTCTTTTAATCTTAATATATATAAATCTCGTGTCACAATGTTTGTCCTCAATGGACTCCTAAACCACTGAACCGATTATAATAAAATTCGCACACCATGTGCAGTTCGATCCAACTTGAGAGATAGGATAGTTTAAATCTCAAATTATAGTCGCAATTTTAATTTATTGCAAATTATTACTTTTGGGCGGTACGAAGTTCGCCGAGTCAGCTAGTAATATCATATAACAATGGTTTAATCCGCCTCTCTTCAAAGTAAATTTCTTTCTGACTTAACCACTCCTGAGGTTTTGAGCTTGATATCGTAAGAGCATTGTTAATGAATGCAATGATACGGAGCGGAGGTGGACGACTTTTCCCAGGCGTAACATTTTTTTATTATTTTGCCATTGCAATTTTTCGTTCTTTAGTAAGTAGTAGTCTTGACACCGTTTTGCTGACACACCTAAAATAAAAAAAAAACATATAAAATTATTCTTATAGTGTTAATTTATTAATCATTAAATTATAAGGTACTCACAACCGAAAAAAGTGAAAACTGACAACTTTCATTATAAATTAAAGTAAATAAGTATGAAACTATAATATAATACAACACAAACAACTTTTTTGTATGAATTTTATGAACATGACACGAGCCTAATAGAAAATGTTATTATGTTACTCCATAAAATTAGGTACACATCAATAACCTTGCAACCCTAAAATTTAGCTGTCATGGCAACCACTGAAGGACTTGTATCCATGGTCAGGGTGACCATATGTGGCAGGATCCTGCCTTTTCGGCAGGTTTAGCCATTTATTTTACTCTGTGGCATATTTTTTTGACGTTTTAGAAATCTGGCAGTATTTGGCAGTTTATAGCAATTTAAGTTTTTTTTATTTATTTAAATGAGTAGGGTGCGGATCGACAAAAGAAAAAACAGTACGTAGGAATTTTAAAATTTCGAGGATTTCCCGTAACATCTCTAGTCGAATTTGTAGTTCATTCCATTGTAAACCATAAATTGTGGAGCATAATGTTTATATTACCTACCTTTATTTTTATTTGTCAGTTGTTTATGTAATTAGTCGGACTAGAAAAACTGTCGGAGACACAATTTTATTTTGTTTCTGATTTCGTGCGGTGTGTCGAATGGTTACCATAGTACCATGAAACGTCAATATGAACGATTATATCGCGTAGTAGTATACAAAATTGTATAGTGGAACAACACTGAACAGTCCTGTAACAAAAACTAGGAACTTAGTATGCATAGTAGCGCCCTCCCGTTCTCCAGCGGGGCAAAAATTGGAACTACCTGTCAATGTCATAAAAAGGACAGATCAGCGTTGTCGATTTATGGGCATTATTTCGGCATTTTGTGCCTAAAATTTTGGCATGATTTGTCAGTTTTTTTGCCTAAGCGGGGCAGGATCTCTAATTTAAGGTTGGTCACACTGTCCATGGTCATGAATAAATTAAAAAAAAACTGTCATGACAGCTATTCGCATTTGATCATTTTTTAAAGGAATCAAAACTTCGTTATTTTTATTCTCCAGTTTACAAAACTCTTTCACCTTAAGAATTACTTTGCTGGCTTCACTTCTTGTTACTTTACGCTCCACAATCAATCTCCTCCCAATAAAAAACAACGAAAATCTTTAAAAAAACACTCGCAAATCACACACTTGACAAACGACAAGATGGCGGAGCTGCCAGTGTCACATTTAGTTCGACTTTACGACTTTTCGCCGTAGGACTATCAAGTCCTAACTAAGATAACTAGAGTCAACCTAAGATAACTAGTCTCTAGTAGACTCTAGTTATACCCTGACACCTTTGAGTACTCAAAGTCTGACATCGCAAAACTTTGGCTATATTTTGCAATGACTTTATGATTATAGACATATGTAGTATCAAATGGACGGAGCATTTCACATAAAAAGCGTGACCATTTTTCTGTGTGTTGGTGTCAATGAGCAATTGAGCATGTGTGTGGGTGTGTCTAGAGAAGCGACGAATATTCATAATTGTGGTTTTGGTCATCAATATAAAAAAATAAAAAGTTTTCAATATGACATCAATTCGTGATTATGTACATAATTTTCACGCTTTAAATTATTTTCAATTAATGAAAATACCACACGTCACCACAATGTTGTGTGTGTTATTAAGTGCAATGTTGTGAGCGTAGAGGTGAGGCCTAAATATCGGATTAGGTATTTGGAATAGATATTTTTCGATACTTGGCGATACTTAATCCGAGGCGTCAAATATTTCAACTGACACATAACTAACACAACTATAGTTAACACATAATATGCTAATAACAAGGCCAATTAAAGGTTTTCCTGATTTAACATAAAAAAAAACACTCCGAGTACACGAATCTTAAATTATTTTTATTATTCCTTCATACACAGACGAGAACGGGAAGTATCTTCTTACAATAAAAAAACGGACATAATTATGCTGTTCACATGCGATAGAAGTGAAACCTACAAAATATGAACACGTAAAAGCCCTTCGTGGCTAGATATTGTAAAATACTGGGCAAAATTAAATATTCTATACTTTAATTGTTTCGAAAAATAAAAAATAGCTTAATAAAAGGAAAAAAAAACAATTAAAAATAAATAATAGCTTAAGAAAAGAAAAAGAAACAATTAAAAAAATAACTGAGTTCAGGATC